GTAAAGCCATTCAACAAATTGATCCAATTCAAAACTGCTTGAACGATAGATCCTTCGTCGTTGGTACACTGTAAGAAAAGACCTGCCATATATCGAATGATTCGTCAGACGAGGTGTTAACAAATGACAATTTCTTGTAAGCTGTTATCTTCAATGATGGGTAAGTTTTAGATTAGTTTATACTTAGTTTTATTATGACGAAGATATCTGTGGTAGCTGTGGCCGTGAAAATCCACCCACGAGCAAGAAGAGAAAAGGAAAGGCGAAGCAAGGAAGCAAGAAAACGGAGAACATCAGTTGGATAAGCTGTGACAGTTGCCTGAAATGGTTTCACACAACTTGCGTCCTAATCAGCGATCTAGTTTCACCCGAACTCAAAAGCTTCTGATATTTCTGTGAGACTTGCAGCATGCGAGGAAACCTAATCCCTAAGCAACAACAGCAGCAACAGGATTCGACACCAGCACCGGACAATGACGCTCACGAACGTCTGGTGAAGCTAATCGAAGAACTGTCGGCAGAAATGCTCAAGCTGCGTGAGGAGGTGCAAGTTTCGCGGTCCTGGTGTAAGAAGCAAGTTGAACGTCTTCAGAATCGTGTGCTCGAGGTCGACAGAACATACGATCGGCAGTCTGCACAAACCAAGTTTCTCGAAACCATCGAACAGAAGATCGAAGCGATTGAATCGGGAGCCAAGCTTGCTGTCGTATCCTCGCAAAATGTCAACAGTTACAGAGTCGCTGTTAACAAAGTTCCCTACCGAGCCGATGAGAACCTCGGAGCCATTGTGAGGAGAATTTTCGACTTCCTAGGTGTGCCTTACATCATGGCGAATGTTGTCAGGCATTTCCGTCTACCAGTTAGATCTTCAAAATGGTCGGATCATTCGCTCACACCCACAATTGTCAATCGTGTTCGACGGAAACGAAGCCAGGAATTTGACGCTGCGTGTGTACTACAAGAAGCACAGGGATGCAAAATTGTGTATGCTGGATGATGATCTTCCGCTAGACTATCGGTTCACTCTGAACGAAGTCCTGTCTGTCACAACTTTCCGAATACGGAACCTTGCTCTGAGACTTAAACACAAAAAAGTCATCAGCTCTGTGTTTATTCGAAATGACACAGTTTTCCGTTCGTCTCACTGATCAATCCGAATACACGCTAATCAACGATATCAATCAACTCATGGAACTCACTGGCTCGACAACAGAAGGTGAAAATTCATCGCTGTTCTTCGACGCACAGTCCTCAGTTTCTTCGCTTGGATTAACACCCTAACTGCACTACCATTTCGACGACTTTAATTCCACCAGATGACTACCTACCCAAAACAACTTCGTATAGGACATCTCAACGTTCGCAGTCTCGAACGACATATTGATGGTGTCAAGTTAATGCTCGACCGTGACCAATACCATTTCTTCTGCGTAACTGAGACTAAACTGAGACAATCCTCAGCGACTGGACCTATTCGGATTCCCGCCTACAACTTTATTGAGCATTCGCTTTCGTCCGGACGTGGTAGGAGTACCAAGACGTGTGGAGGGGCAGGAATTTATGTTAAGAAGGGTATCAAGGCGGTGCCGATTTTGAAATCAACTTTCGACCCAACCATTCCTATCAACCAACGGCTTGAATTTCTGGCCATCCAAGCTAGGTTTGGCGATACCAACACGTGCATCGTCGTGGTATACAACCCCTCTGGTTGCAACGCACTTTTTGCCCAACAATATGAAAAGCTTCTACTCGATCTGCTGGAACACCATTTTGACAGGATCTTCCTGGTTGGTGACTACAATATCAACGTCGCCGCGAGTCAACCCACTGCGAACCTACTTGCTTTGAGACGGATTCACACCACCTTCAATCTTACGGTGCCCGGAGCTCTACTACCATTGATCTAATGGTAACCGATCATCACCCACTGTTCATCAAAAAATCCAAAGCTGTAAACGCGAACTCCATTTCCGATCACGAAGCTGTGTATCTGATCGCTGACGTGCGCATACCTGAAGCTCCACCTCGTCGTATGAAAGTACGGAATCTCGGTAGGATAGATCCCCTACGGCTGCAAGCTGATTTCCAAGCAAAGGACCTACAGCACATCTACCAAGAAGACGACATCGACATCAAAACACAACTTCTCACTAGCGAACTTTATTCGCTTTTGAACCAGCATGCTCCGGAGCGGATAATTAGTGTTCGTGACAAACGCACGCCATGGATAACGAACGAAATCCAAGCTGCAATCACCTTACGGGACCTAGCCTATTCTCTCTATGTGCGAAATCCGAATCGTGTCAGAGGAGATGCTCAATGGCGAGACTACATCTCCAAAAAAAAGTAGGGCCGGCACCCTAATCGGTGCTGCTAAGAAAAGATTTGGCATGGATCTTCCTGCTAAGCAGCTGTGGTGCAACCTGAGGAGAGAGGGCATACATAACAATGCAAAGAAGAATGCGGCCATGGAGGAATTTGATGCTGACCGACTAAATCAGTTCTTTGCTGAAGGCCATCACATGTTACAGCATAGAGCTGTACCTTCGTAAGCGAATCCGATCGACCACCCGCAAATATGGCCGACGGCCAATTCCAGTTCAGGCGCACAAACATCAACGAAGTCACCAGGAAAATTTACGGGATTGGGACCAACGCGAAAGGGACGGATGAAATCCCCATCTCATTCATCAAGCTGCTCTGCCCGTTTATCCTCCCCCTCCTGACTCACCTGTTCAATGCGATTATCGATGCTCAAACTTTCCCCTCCGTCTGGAAAAAGGCCATCGTTACCCCGATACCGAAATCATCGAACCCTACTTCACCGAAGGACTTCAGGCCCATCTCGATGTATCCACACCCGCTCTTCTTGCCAAACACCAGTCAGGATACAGGAAAAACCACAGTACCCCGACTGCTCTAGTCAAGGTTGCTCATGATATCCTCAACAACTTTGACGATAACAGGTGCACAGTAATGGTTCTTGTCGACTTTTCGTTGGCATTCAACTGTGTCAGACATGGTCTACTTGAAACGAAGCTGAGGAGGGAATTCGGGTTTTCAAACTCCGCGTGTAATTTGATTTCACCTTTCCTAGCGCAGCGAAGCCAGGTTGTAGACCTAGGTGGTACTCCCTCGAATCCCCGGAATCTCACCGACGGTACGCCACAAGGATCCTGTCTGAGCGCCCTGCTGTTTAGCCTATACATCAGCAGCCTGCCTGGTGTGCTAAAATGCGAGTATCACATCTATGCCGACGACCTCCAAATCTACATATCAGGCCCCGCAAGCGAAATTAACAGGCTCGTCGAAGCAATCAACCAGGATATCCTCGCTATCGAACGTTGGGCCACTGAGAATCGTCTGTTTCCCAACCAAAAAAGACGCAAGCTATAGTCTTTTGTAGAGATGGGGCCATAATCCCTCAAAATGACATACGCTTCTGTGATGAAACCATTACTTTGTCGAACAAAGTTACCAACCTTGGTCTCATTATGGACTCTAACCTAAAATGGACCGACCAGATAAACGAAGTCACCAAAAAGATCTACAATACTCTTCGTACGTTCAGGCGCTTCCGTGGAGTGCTTTCCAGACAGATTCGTATGAAGCTCGTCCAAGCTGTGGTGATGCCGTTCTTCGCATACTGCAACGTCGTGTACTACCCAGGACTGTCCACCGCGCTCAAGGCTCAGTTGCATCGATGCTTCAAGTCGTCGGTGAGGTTCGTGTATGGAATCCGAGGGCGTGACACGACCAGAGAAGTGCGACACTGCTGCTTCATGTACGGGGCCTACCATGGAAGCCTCCCAGAGTACATCAAGCAGTACACACCTAAAGATCGAAACGAGCGAGCTAGATCCTTTGTCCTACCGCATCACACCACAAGTTCCCGAAAAAGTGTTCTAATATTCGGAGCGTCCACCTGGAACGCACTACCACTAGCTACAAGGCAGCAACGGACTCTCAAGTCGCTTAAAGCGGCGCTCCACAGAGCTGATTAATTCTCTAGACTAATACCAATAGTAACTGTCGGTTTAAGAAATGTCAAATGTTTAGACTTAGACTTTAATTTCATTCTTAACTCCCCACTAAACTGATTCAAACTGGTTGCTTCCTTGACCTGATTTATGGTTCTGTAACTGACAGGTTTTCGTTATGCTATCAATAAATTACAAATTACAAATATGTTTTCAATTTAAGACAATTACACCACAGTTGCTCTACAATGATGCCGTTCGGACACGGGAAGGTGTCCACTGCAGACGGGATCGGTGTTCGGTACGCAGGATCAACGATAACGATGGGACCTCTTCCTGCTGGATCGAAGCCAATCGCGAACAGGAATCACATTCAATGCTTACTCCAGTTGGGAGATGCTTTCGGAGCTGTTGGTACCTTCGTAGGAACTACTTAGCTCAAGAGTCATAATAGGTGTACGAACTGTAAGATTGACTCTTAAAAATAAAGCATTTTAACAGTTAAAATATTACCTGTTTTCGGCTGACAACATTCCTTCAGTTTTCACACAAATATCACTCAATATAAATAAGAATAGTATTTAATTAACATATTATTTTCATTTGATTTACGTCCACCGTGCGAACCCGAACTTTTTGTCAGTGCGAACCTCGACCCGTGCCAGGTTTCAAAAACAAACGATCAAACTGACGTTTGCTAGAAAACAAGCAGACCCAATCTTGATACCCGATCCAGGTTGGAACTGAATAATAAACGAATTCGCTATAAAATCATCCTAGAATAAGAAGATAAACATCCAAAGGACGATTATCTCAAAACCATCTGATAATAGTAATAGGGCTTGGGTGAAGCAATAATCATTCGATCAAAGGATGATGTTTTCGTTCAGTGATATAGAATTGAAGCAACAATCAAAATCTGGGGTCACATTGCGAATCTCGAATCGAAAGACTTTTTGTACGAACGCTTGTATGAAAAAGTTTCCCGTTTCGAGATGCGCAATGTGGCCCCTGACTCACCTTCCACGCTCTGCCTTGATCCCGGATATCTTCAACGACCGTTCGTTGCGTCAATTATTGTGCAATAGTGCACCACTAGTGCTGCTTCTTTGCCGTACTTTCCTATCCAGAATCCAGTGGCCGTACCGAGATTCCTGCACTCCCAAACACAAGTCAGCAATTCACTCAGATTGCTTCTTCCTTCTTTCCTAAACAACCAACCAAACACATCAACACTCTTCAACGTCAAACGCGCCTTCCTTACGACGAGGCAAAAATCCGAATTATTACGACCGCGCACCGTCAGTCACCCTCAGAAGACACACAAAAACCCCGCACCGTTTTATAGTAGCCCAGAGCTCTTCTAGAGCGACCGCGAGTCTTCAGTCCACAGAACCGCGTCCTCTTCGTCGCCGTTGAATGGCACCCCCCGATGACACACACAGATTCAGACAGGAGGACGGGACACGACACGATGGGCCCGCTGACTCTGCTCTGCTGCTGAAACTGAAACTAGCAACAGCAGTGGCAAGGCGAGGCAAAAGCTGCTGGTCTCGTAACGCGACCGCGACCGACCGAGCGCCTACCGCTTTTCACTGACGATGATGATGATGATGACGGAAGCCAAGGCCTGCACCGCGCGCACACCCTCTTGTCGTCTTCGTCGGTGCCGTCCCTGCTCTGGCTGTGTGTGTTGCTCGCTTTCGTTTCGGGCCCTTGCTGCTGGCCACTCGATACTGCTGCTGCTGACTGACTGACTGACTGATGATGATGACGACGGTGTGAGACGGAAAAAAACGCGATTCCTTCTGCCCGCGAGTGATCTTGTTCACATTTTCTTCCCCTCTCGGACCAGACCAGAACCACGACGACGTCGACCACGTAATATATTGGGGCCTCTCACAGGCACTGTTCGAAAGTTGAATTTTCACACCACTTTTGCCGATAAGCGGTTGTTGTAAACAAAACAGCGATCGTTATCAAACTCACACATTCACCGTATCTTTTTTTTCTGGTTTAGATAATTCAAAAACACGCGCCTCCCTTTCAAATAGAAAAACAACCACTTTTCTCCACCCGAAGGGCTTATGGCGTGGCGGTTCTTCAGCGGAACGGTTATCTCTCGTTTTCACTGGTGATGCAATCCACGGATTCTGCTCATCGAAAGGAATGTTGGAAAGGACTCAAATTCACCGGAAAAATCACCTTTATTCACTTTTTTTCCCTTACTGCTTCCAGAGCCCCGCGACGGGATGAAAGTGTTCTCGCGGCGACGAAAATCGACTATCACGTTTGACAGCTAGGACAAGAATGAGTGGAGAAAATTGCTGCGCGAATGAAACCTTCGCGGGATGATTCGATCGGGCACGTTGGAAAGAGCAAGATAGCAACATATGAGACGACCAGGAAAGGGCGAGCAAAACAAGAAATGAAAAAATGCGCAGGGCGATGCTGTGCGAGGCGTGAGATTGGGAAATTTCTGTAACGCTAGTGATAACGTTGAAAACGAAACAAACTCGGATAGTAAGGCACTTTTACTTACACGGAGATGAAAAACTACCCAAAATTAAGTGCTTTTCTCTCGGGTTCAACCTCATAACCCAGGGGTAATACCCCGTTCACATTACAGCCTATATCACGTAATATAGGCTATCTTGCAATGAGCACTCATACATAGGATTTCCAGTGAAAACTAGATGTATGGGTGCTCATTGCAAGACAGCGTATATCACGTGATATCAGGCATGACATTTGATAACGGCACAAAAGCATTTGTAAACAAACTTTATAAGGCCCTTTACACGCGAACCAAAGTACGCCCACGCAAACCAACAACATCATCGGATAGGGGCAACTATCACCTTTCCAAAAGTGGTATTGGTTTGAGTGGGCGTACTTTGGTTCGCGTGTAAAGGGCCTTAGAAGGTTTGTTTACAAATGCTTTTGTGCCGTTATCAAATGTTATGCCTGATATACGCTGTAATGTGAACGGGGTATAACCCGCATAAATGCGTACCATAGAGTTACCTCTATGTTTCCATTGCTTGACCTTACCAAAAATGGTTTAAAATTGTTTTTAATCCCTGCTAAACTTTAACTGAAATGGTTATGAAACTTTTCATGAACGTTTGTGTGACATAGTTTTAGCATAGACCCAAAGGGTAAGGACCTCCTTCACGCGATTTTTTTTTGGTTCACCTAGCTGTTTTTTTAGTGTACCTGGTGCACCCGGTACTAGAGCAAAAGACAGCAATTTGTACCAGAACAGGTGTCAAAAATGACACAGACAGCACAACTGCCAGCAAAAGCGCCAGCAAAAAAAAAGCGCGGTACCCGCTGCCGTGGCAGTCAGATTGAGGTGTGTCATATCCGCGCCATCCGTTCAATCGTGAGCGAGTGCAGTTTATAGTCGATCGTTATCTCAATTCATTCTTGGAGGATCATAAGTACAACCCACGACATGCCAAGCGATTGGCGGAAAATCTCAGCGTCAAACTCCGAGATATGGTCAAACGGTGCAGCTTTGAGCGTTATAGAAAGGTTGCCATGGTGACCGTGGGAGATAAGAATTCCCAGGACTTCAAATCGTCCATGCGTTTCGTGTGGGATGCCGAAAAGGATGAATACGTGAATTTGTATACGAAGCACCGACGTATTTTGTAATCGCGACCGTACTTGCAGTGTATTACGAGTAGATGTTGTAGTGGATCGAACAATAAAATTGATAGTCATATTTTCTTAGAGACGCTTCGGGCGAATTCGAATGTGCACATCAGAAGTGGGAAAAACGTTGTTCAACATCTACACAACAGCAACTCTGATAGAATTATTCATCTTCCGTTACACAATAATGTATAGAATTGCCAGCTTTGAGTAAGACTTCCATAGATAGAAACATTTCCCTAACAGTAGTAGCAGAATATTTGGAATAACTTTATTCGACTTCCACGCGAAGAACACATCAAAATACACTCAGCTACGATTCGAAGCTAGGACTCGAATAAATACTGAAACCACGATACTTAACTTTCTTGGAAGCTTTAGGTTTTTCGCTTATGATCGCGCTGCTGTTCGGGAATCTCGTCCTGCAGTTCCATGATATGATCCACCGGCTGCGGCCGCCCGTCCTCACCGATCTTGCACGGCTGAACGATGCCCTGTCGCTGCAGTTTATCCATCAGTGCCACCAATTGCATCGCTTCGTACTCCTTCTGCTCCTCGGACATGCCTTCCAGCGGGTTCGGCTTCGGTGGTTCGTAGCAGCCCAGCACCGGATTGATGGCATGCTGGATCTGTTTGTACTCTTCCGTATCGCTGTCCTCGGAATCGGACGAATACTGTTCCGTATTGCCCTGGCGGCCGCCCAGCAAACCACGATTCGCAAACAGACCGGCCGCATTGCCACAGCCCGTGTATTTGATCATCCGACCGACGTTTTCCTTGCACAGGACGAAGAGCAATTCCACGGACAAGACGGCAATTTGAGTGATCGGGCTCGTTAGCAGCGAGCAAAGGTAGTTGCGTAGCTCCGTGCCGACTTCCGATCGTTCTTTGACGTTCTTCAGAGGAGGAAGCACTTCCGATCGAACGTAACGCCGGTTAAGGGACGTCGCTCGAATCGTCTTGATCAGGACCGTCAGAATAGGCGACAACAGTTCGTACTGATCGGACTTCTTTTCTGATTTTTGGAAAACCCGTCTCAGAAACTCCACCAGCACGTGTAGGACGTAAACGTTCTTTCCTTCGAATGGCACAACGGTTTTGGAATCCAGATCTTCCGGGTTCAACGGTGAGACAAGCTCGCTATAACAGCTGACCGGAACACTGGTTAGGAGATTGACAATGTTCGATTGGAGAGAAATGATCTTATCTCGATTCAGGGTGCGATAGAAGAACAGATCGTGAACGACTACTGCTAAACGATGGAATTGATTGGCTTCTTCTTCCTCCGGAACGGCATTCAAGTGTGTGCGAACGTTTAAATTGAACAGAACCTTCAGCACTTCATTAATCAACTCGAGATCTTTGTCCTAAAACAAATCATTCAGATCAGCTTTACCCGCAAAAACAATTAATACAAAGACTTACACTAAACTCCTTCGTTTCGGCTGCCTGTCCCATGAACAGATCCAACGTTTCCACCAGGTACACCAATCCAGTTCCTCTCGAACCTTCGCTCGAATATCACAGTTGATTGCCGTTAGTAGGAACAGCAACTTCATATCAAAGTATCTAATATCATAGCAAACATTTCCGTCCCTGAAAAATATCAACTTCATTTTTGACTTTGTCCACCTATACACCCTCAGCATCGCCCTTCCTACTTGTAAGTTTTGATCCTCCGCATAATGCCCTCGGTGGAAGAATTGTTCAGACACAGCTCCTGGCACTTGCTGCTCTGGAAAATCAAATTGATCAAGCACTTCAACGCTTCCACCTGGACCTCTTCGCTCGCTCGGCACTGGCAGCTTTCGCCACCGATCCCTGCCAAACCGAGCAAACAAGCCAGCTGCTGCTCCCGGACCGTCTCGTTCAGGTAGGTCTTGTCGCGACTGAGCAGCTTGATCGCCACCAGACAGTCCTCCCGGTGCTTCTAGTTTTGTGCTTCTTTTTCAGGTATTCTTCGATAGCTACTAGATAGAATTTCTCCGTTGTTCCACCAACCGAAAGCTTCAGTCCTTCGCATATTTTCTTATAGATACCCCCAGCAGTGCTGATTGATGTGCAGTTTACGTAAACCATGTTAAGTTTGCTAGCCAGCTTTTGATCACTTATAATCCTGGTGAGAGTAGCTGTTTTTCCCGTTCCAGGAGGGCCACTAAAATCAATTAAATGTCAGATCAGATCTGGTTCGCATAACGCAAAACACAACTACTTACCTTATGTACAAACTGCCGGAACCATTTTCCGATAAAATGTCTTCAATATACTTTGCCAGATCTTCAGTTTCACGTTCCCGTTCCGGAAGGCATCCAATAGCCGTTAGTTGCTTTGGCTCGTTTCAGCGGTGAAGCCTCCGGAATATCGTTGCTCTTCTTGTTAGGTTAAAACAAAACGTCAGCTATTGTTGGTAAACAAACCGACAGCATTTTTGACAGCATTCCCCCATGCACTCAAAAATAAGTACCCACAAATCTAAAAAACCTACTACTGCGTGCACTTCCATTCTATTACCGAGAACAATGATTTTTCGATAAATTCCTTCCACGCTATTGGTCCTAACCTTTGGGTCCATGCTTATACATTCCATAAGACAAGCCACATGGGTCCTATAAGAATGCGTAAATGGTATGTGTGACCACTTATACATTTCATTTGGCACATGATCTTCATTAACTTTTTGCAAGGCGTCTGCTTATTAGTTGACTTATACATTTTATGAATAATCAGCAATAGAAATTTGTCAAAAGGTATAAGGAAATTTCTATCCGTGTAGAGGTAACTCTAAGACTAGAAGGTCCAGAAATAACGTGCTCAACTTTTTGGCACAGCTCTGATACTCTCTTCGGTCCCAAGCTAATCGATTCACCCCTCGAAACATAGGAAAAACCACTAACCCCTCATTTTATCTGTCAAACTTTCATAGCGAATCAAAACAAACATTGCATAGTACTATAATTTCGACTAGAATGGGGTACGTTAATCGTTTGCTTGGGACCAATAGGCTAGTCAAGTAGTGAGCCAATTTAAAATCGTTGGTTCCGTATTGACTGTTGCTAATAGCTCAGCATTACTCAACCATCACGACAAAACGGTCCTTTTCAGGACCACCATAAATTTGTTAAAGAGTATTTTTTGGACATTTTTCAAGGTCATCAATCGGATGTCAGTTCCCATATCAAGATAGAGCTGGAAGTAGGCCGTTACAGCTTTTGAATGATGACTTGAAAGTCAAGGCTCGCCCATGCAAATCAACATCACCATCAGGTAGGGTAAGACTTCCCCTACCCGACGGCAATGTTGGTTTTGCGTGGGCAAAAATCATCGAGAGAAGTCATTGTTTACAAAAGCTGTTACGCCTGATTTCAGCTCTGTCAAGATATGTTTAAATATTACATACAATGTACTTTAAGGTAACATTGGGGTGCTATTTCAAAAACCAAAGTCGGTCAAGGCATGAAAATGGGCTGATTTTGATACAGAGATGATGGATTTTATTACGCCAATCGTAAGGAATTTTTTCTATGGATCTGTTATAATTAAGACTTTATCAATCTTCAAAATGTCACTATTGAAAATTGCACGAATGTGCAACTGTTGCTATGATTATTAAAATTATCACCGATTATCTGT